CCCCGCCCCCACACCGGCACAGCAGCCTGTGAGGAACAGCTGTTCAGGTGAGGGCAGATCAGCAGATTAGCTTTCGGAGAGGAGAGCAGTGGCCCAGCTGACTCCCCCCTCCCTGTATTACAGGCTGTCCCAAGTGACAGAGCGCCGCTGTCTCGGGTTTTTGCGAGAGCAGAATTCCTCTCTGATGCCGAGCCTGGCGGCAGAGAAGCCCCCCTTGTGGCAGTAGGTAAAGCTGGGGTCCGCAGCAGAGCCACTCGACTGCCCCCCCCAGACGAGACGCCCTTGTCCAGGCAGACCCCTGGAGACCGAGAGAGTGCCGGGCTGGGCGCCATCCATGCGCGTGTCATCGGGTTCCAGCGACTGGTTCTTTCAAGAGAGCAAGAGCAGATTCTGGCTCCCAAATCCTACAGAGAGCCCCCCTAGGTTACTGAAGCCCCCCCCCCCATCCTCCCCCTTCTCCCATGTTCTGGAAAAACCCTCCGGAAACCCGTTCCGAAAGCTCTTCGGGCTGCTCCAGTGGGATGAAGGATGAACACACCCTGCGCTGCAGGCCCGTGTGGGCTGGACACACTGCTGATGTTTCAGTGCCCCGGGCTACTGTGGCCGAGGACTGGCAGAGGCCTTGTAAGACAAAGTGGGATGAGATTCTGGGATCAGCCAACCCTGCTCGTGTTTTTATCTCTTTAATAATAATTCCTCACACTTATAGAGCGCTTTTCCGGACACTCCACTCAAAGCGCTTTACAGGTAATGGGGATCCCCTCCACACCTACCTGGATGATGCGCCAGTCCACCCCCACACACCAGCTCTCAGTGGGGAGGAGAGCAGAGTGATGAAGCCAGTTCAGAGATGGGGATTATTAGGAGGCCATGATTGGAAAAGGCCAGGGGGGAAATTTGGTCAGGACACCAGGGTTACACCTCTACTCTTTTCGAGAAACGCCCTGGGATTTTTAATGACCACAGAGAGTCAGGACCTGTTTTATGTCTCATCTGAAGGATGGTGCCTTTTTACAGTATAGGGTCCCCGTCACTATACTGGGGCTTTAGGCTCCACACAGACTGCAGGGTGAGCGCCCCCTGCTGGTCCCACTGACACCTCTTCCAGCAGCAGCCTCAGCTTTCCCAGGAGTCTCCCCTCCAGGTACTGGCCAGGCTCACACCTGCTGGGCTCCAGTGGGGCTGCCAGCTGGGAGCTGCAGGGTGACAGGGCCGCTGGATGACTTTTCTTACTTGTCATGTTTCTTGTGCTGCTGCTGGCGGTGTGACTGCGCTGTGTCTCCCCGCAGTGGAGAGTGTCCCGGACGAGGGAGAGCTGGGGATCGGGGCCGTGGAGGAGCAGGAGCCCGTCCCTCTGCAGACAGGTACACCCCCCCAGCCTCGGCCCAGCAGAGCCAGGAATGAGACTCCCAGGCCGAGCCGCTCCAGGGATTTACCAGCTCCAGCCATGTAGCCAACAAACCCTGGAGCGGGTCAGGGCGCTCCGGAGCGGGAGAGTGGTTTGACACCTGTGCAGCCTCTGCACAACTGCATTTTGAAAGGGCGGCATTCGCACTGCTGACACGTACACGTACTGGAGTGTTTGCCATTTTCCGGGGCCGTCTTGTGGGGAGGAGAGGGGAGGGACACAGCCCGACTTCAGAGGCGGAAGGCAAGGCAGGCGTTTTTTCAAAGGCGCAGATGTGTCAGAGCGTCAATGCATGTCGAATGCAGCCCCCCCCAATCCCCAACCCCCTCTTTCCCTGCTTTTGAAAGTCGCCCAGCTCTGATTATACAGTGCGGGGCAGACAGCGGTGACGGGCTGCTGTCGGAACTTGCTCTCGTCTGCAGTGCACTCCAAACCCTGCAGCGCACACGCTCCAACTCGCAGGAGAGAGGAGGAGGAGGAGGAGGAGGAGGGGGGGGTGAACTCTGTCACTCCTGACACATGCCTCCTGAAAAACACGACGGCTTCCAGCCTTGTCCTGTCCGCTCGCCGCGCTGCCGGTCGGAGGCGGATCGCTTCCCTCTCGGAGAGGAATGTAGCCGGAGAGGGTGCCCGCTCCGTGCCGCAGCGCCTTCGCCGCCTCTAATGGCGCAGAACGCTCCGGGTTTTTGGTGATTTTGTTTTCCCCTGGGTCTGCAAAGTGTACCCTAAGGCATCGTGTAAACCGAAAGGCGCCCCCACCCTGTCGCTCGGTTCTGGGCGTTTTTTTTTTTTTAAACCGGCAGTGTTGCGTGTCAATACAAAGAAACAAAAAGAAATCGGCTGTTTGCGTCCCAGTACGGACTGCAGCAGCGGGAATCCCGCGGGAGAGAAGTCTGAGGGTGAGAGCGGGAGTCCGGCCGAAGGTCACGGTGTCCCGACCCCGTGAGAGCCCCGCTGAGCAGTTCCAGACAGCTTCCCTGTAAAACACCAGGACTTCCCCTGGGGAATTACTTGCTATGTGTGGCCCGGTGTCAGAAAACCAGTCTGTTTAAGGATTCGACCTCAAAATTAAGATTTTTGGATCCCAGTAGTTCTGGTGTTGCAAATTTAAGGCCAGTCCTTAAAAAATAATAATATCTCCCTTTAACGCTGTGTTTTAGAGGTCATCAGAGACGTACATTAATGGCACTGCATTGGATGAGCCTGGAGCTGGGATATCATTCCAAAACTATTAAGGGTTTTTCATGTATTCAACAGCTATAAAACGTTCATGAAAAATCTGTTTAGCATTGTCCTGTGTTCTGCTCCACCCATTAAGAAATTCATCGTTAACAACAGGTTTTTACAGAGAGAGTGGTTATGTGGATCGCCAAGGGTACAAGCTTGAGGTTCTCTTGCAGATACTGGATCTCTAGTCGTGATCTGCGCTTAGTGAGCACAAGGCGACATCTGCTGGTTAGGAGGTGTTACTGCACATGTGCTGTTCTCATTCACAGGATCATACAGTATTGCCTTTTAGAAAATGGATGAAATATCCCAGTACAGAACTTTATGCAGTCTCTCCTCAGCTTGAAAAGGATTTGCTTCCTCGTTTTCACTAAACAGCTCTTAATAGGTGATGATCAGACACAAGTAGGGGTGACACTATATAAGAAACTCCTAAAATGAGTCAGTTTTTCTTTCAGCTTGATTCCACTGCTTATGTTGCACACCTATCCTGAAACCCGCTCGTTAGCACAGGGTTCATACCAATCATGACTCTCATTCAACTTTTTTAAGAGAGTAAATCAAATTTGAAACAAGGCCTCATTTACAAAACTGAAAGAAATCGTACCTGGGGATGAAGATACAGCAGCAGGACACTGGGGCGTCCCAGGTCCAGCAGAACCACGTGGGCAGTCCTGGTTCTGGAGGGCAGGAGAGTCTGCAGCTTTTCATTCCAGCACAGATCTTAACGATCGCACTGAGCTCCTTTGTGGCTTAATGGGACTAACTGAACAGCTTCTCCCAGCTCTGCAGGCATCATTTCTTTGAAGAGAGATGGAAA